AGAATTTAAGTAGATAAACTTATTCTTTCCTTTTATAGCTTCTAGATATAATACTAGATACGCCTGCAAAAAGGTATGGCTTCCTACTAAATAACTTCCAACACTGTAACAGGACAGAAAAGGTCACAGTACGACTTTTCATTTCAGGCCCATTAGCCTGAGGAGCTGAAGAAAGATTTACAGTAAATGGAACCTTGAAGCTTGAAAGAGAGTATATACTGAGAAACATAACATTGGCCCTAGAAAACAGACTGACCCAAATCCATTTTTTCCAAGTTTTCTGAAAGAAAAGTATTTTAGTATTGTGTTTGCAAGGGTTCAGGACACATAAATTCCTCATGAAAATAAAAGAACAACCTTTTTAATGAAACTATTCCATCTCTCTGTCTGCATCTGTAGTTAAAAAAAAAGTTATCCATTCAGTATGCAAAAGATTTGTAAGTTGCTTTAAAAAAATTAGTAGTGTTCTATTTGGACTGAATTATTCTGAAATGCCTGAATAGTAACTTAGACCTCCAGCACAGACCCATACCTGGATAGACAAATTATCTTCCAGACTTCTGTTTGTTTCATCTGCAACATCAACTATGAAGAAACCAGAATTATGTATTAAAAAAACCCCAAAGATTTTACAGTTTTCAACTTAAGTATTTTCTTATAACAAATTGAAAATCACCACTTCATCCTTAGAACCTCCGTTTCTTATTTTCTTCTGTCTCCTGAAAAGGTCTAAATATTGATGCAGAGAAAGACAAGGGGAAATAACCGTTCCCACCATTCACTGAACTACAACCGCTAACTAAATGCCGCTGCAGCCAGATGCCATTTCCTCAGGCAAAGTAGATCTGAATTTCTCAACAACTAGAACTCCATTAATAAACAAAAAAACCCCATCCTTTTGACATCCTAGTTTCACACAGAGACACCATTATAACCCCCTCTCCTGGACACCCCCCCCCAAACAATCAACAGAAGCACTTTGAAATTAGTCTTACAGGGATACATATAATCCTGGGGAGAAGGGATCTAAACCCCTTCATGTCCATGTGCAGTTATGCACAGACAGAGGTGGTGGCAGCTGTATCCCAGCAACAACTGTGCTTTTGTTATGTATTTAACCGCATAGCAGCTGCACAGGGAATTCACCTACTAGAGAGCATAGTGTAAAAGTCACATACTTTCAATGAAACCAAAGTGCTGCCCACAACCGGCCAAGGGGAACTGTGTCTCTGCTCTGACTTCAGCTCTGCTCAGGATGTCAAGGCCTGGACAGAGAAGCACATTGTGCACGTTTACAGAGCACCTGCGGAAAAATCACAGTGCACGCCTGCACATTTGCAAGCCGGACACCCCT